GAGCTATGACTGCTTAATAAAATGTGCTAACTCTGATAGAACCCTGGTGGCAGAGGGGGCAGCACATAAGGCAATCTGAACAAATACAGACTTTTGTTACTAATAATGAATCATGTTGGTAACATACCATGAATGTAACATACCAAGTTTTGCATAGTAGGAGAACTTGGTTGAAGGGTACAGGGGAATCTTCTATTAACTTTGCAACTTTTTGTAAATATAAAACTAAAGTTAAAAGTATATTAATTAAAAAAGGAGGGACTAGAATAAAGGATTTCATGAACTGAAGATGAATGGAACTTTCAAGAACTAAAGTGAAATATCTTAAAAGGATAAAAAAGAAAACAGGTCCCAAACCTTAGAAGTTTCCTGTAAAGTTAACTTGAAACGTTTATAAGTCATCACCTAAATGAAAGCTCTCAGTAATTGTATAACTGTTTTTTCTTCTTTCCCCATTAAAGACCTTTGGTATATGTGCTTTCCAGGTGGACTCATAGAGTCTTCTGAGTTAGTTTTGTAGCACATTATGCTACCAAATAGCTGTTTGACTTTGCTGTTGAGTCTTGGTTTTATGGAGCTGATGAGATTCTTTCTAATCAGCATTTATTCTTAGCTGAAAGAAAACAGTCCCTTCTGTTTAGTTTGTCTCACAAGGAGCACAGAAAAAAAAGATGACTGAAATGTTCTTAGCGTGCCTCCACAGCAGGACCATGACCGGCAGGTTCTGGGTCACTCGCCTCCACAAGGACAGAGGCTGTGGTTCATTAGGGCTGCTGCAGGCTAGGGCTGCAGGACACACCCTTTCCATGAGCTTGATCTTGAAACAGCTGGATGCCGCCAAACACAGAATAGGGTTAATGGGAAAAAACAGGCCCTGAAGAGAGAACTTTAATGAACACGGATGCATTTACAAAATAAAGCAACTGTTTCTTTTGGTGAAAACTGAAAGGAGATGCAGAAAAAGAGTCCTTTTATTTCTGCATTGGGAGAATCAAAATTTGGCTCCTATTCCAGCCATGTAGACCTCTGCCCCCTAATGACACCAGTTCCTGCTTGTCTTTCATTCCCAGGTGGCACTCTGCAGCCTCAGCCGCAGTAGTGCAGACCTCTCCCAATGGCTAGAACTGGGATGCAGGCTGAGAACAGCTCCTGCCCACTTTTGCCAGGGTGACCTCTACTCTCTGTGACGCTCACCTTATCCATTTTTCAGCAAGGTGCCTGATGATTGAATCCCAGCTCTTTTCACTAAGTCGTGGTCCTATACATGTGTACCTCTGAAGATCTCAGTCTAGGTCCCCAGTCAATCAAACAGGCACAGCCATGCCTTCCCTGAAGATTCTCATGGGAGTGAATTATCAGCCATGTAATTTATGAACCATGGGTTCTGTGCTCAAAAATATACATTCCACTGCCCACCTCTCCTTCTGCTGTAAAGCCCCTGTATCCATCAGTTGAGCACCTGAGGGTTCAAAATGTATATGCATCAAATCCCAGATGACACAACTTCCCCTGTTTTATCTTCTTGCCTGTCACCTTCTTTCTACTTTCCAGAGTGCTGTGGACAGTCATGTCACAGAAGTGATTGTGCTAATTTATCATTGTCAACTGCAACCCATCAAGTGGCTTCACCAACAACAAAATCCACAAACATTACAAACCTGCCTCCCCAGAGGCATTCCAGAAGTCATTGGAGACAGCTCCCCAGTTTGTGAAATTAGGGAGGAAGTGACCTCATCATGGAGGGTACCCGATGAGCCCCCACATTAGTGTATGTTCACATGTAGTAAAACTTGCTTTTGAGCTGACGCTGCTCTGAACTTCTCATGCAGCTACCCAGGGCTTCCTCAAGTGGTGCTTTGAGCTCAGTAGTACAATTATTCCCACATTGAAATGAGGAAATGAGGCCCTGAATGGGGTGATAACTTCCTTAAGATCAGAGAGATCAAACTGGGAAATGGGGCATAAATTCAGACCTGTCTGCTGCCAATGCCACTTCTCCATGGTAACCTGTCCAGTCCTGACTAACAAATGGCTTCTCTAGCTTCAGTGAGAGGCTTCAAACCCTTGTGATGACAGCACAAGATGTACTCTAGGTGTTTCTTTTCTTTTTTTTTTTAAAGATTTATTTATTTATGCATACTAGAGCTGGGGCACAGGCCAGAGATGCCGGGGGAGGGGGATGGTGAGAGGACTCACTAGAGATAGGTTGGGGAACAGAACAGACAGATTGACCAAAATACACTGCTAACGGGAGCAGCAGGTGAGTCAGGAGAGGTCTGCTGCGCCATGTAGGTTGCTGCCTGGCGGGCCGGGGATAGAATCCATGCTCAGAGGCTGAGGATTGCTTCATAGCTTGGTGCTTAACCCCTTTCGCCACCAGGGAGGCCCTGGGTATTTATTTTCATTGGCTGTATTAAAGTGATTCAACTTAATTTCCAAAATATTGGGCTAATTTGATAAGACTGCTTTGCTGTCTTCAGCCAGGCATGTGCTATGCTAGGCCCACTGGTTTAGACTTGAAACTTTTAACCTCTTTTTATCTAAGTCTCAACCCTGAATTGGGAAAAGCTACTTCTATGTCTTATGCAGACATCTCATTATGTGTTCAATGTCTCTGCTTGAATGATTCGATTCTCTGTATCCAAATAGGAGTTCTGAGCTCCACATGCCACCTCCCTCATACAGAGATGGTGGCTCCATCCATCCTGCTATGCCCCAAAGCTTGGCATCATCCTGGGCTAATTTCATTCTCTCGCCCTTAATAGTAAATCATTAGGAAACACACTGTGCTCTGTCTTCAAAGAGAATCCACTTGTGAGCACCCCCACATGCCACCTTGATCTGAGCCAGAATCCCTTCTCCCTACTAACTGGCTTCTACTCTCACCTTGCTCAGAGTACACCCCATTGAATATTCACAATCCTACATCTAGACCCATCCTTTCAATCCATACATCAACCCATGCCAACCTCTATCTTCTATCTAGTGTCACACCTTGTGTACAGAGGAAAGGCCAAAGTCCTTAAGCCCACACACCCTGCCCCAGCTGGGCCCTATTCCTCTCACACTCTCTCCCCTCCTCTCCCTCCTGTTTTCATATCCAAGTCATACTGACATCCTTGCTCATTTTCAAGTGAGACAACTCTTCTGTGTTTGCAGGGCTCATCCAGGTGTTTCCTCCATCCAGAGAATTCTTGCCCCAGATTTCTATATGACCAATGTCCTCATCTCTGGGGATAGACACTACCTGCCCCCACCCCCACCCCCACCACTCAGACTCCCTGGATTACTTCTTTCTGTCAAGGAACCAGAATCTGGGCATCTCTGCTGATTCTACTGCCTTTGCTGAGCCCCTGCCAGGCCCTGCAGCAGCAGAATCCCAGCTGAAGCCCCAGATCCACAGGCTCAGCCCATACCCAATCTGCACTGAGTCCCCAATCACATTTGCACTTGACGAAAGGCATCCTAGGTACTCTTAGTCTGGCCTCCCGAGCAGTCAGAAGGATAATACGATGTGTGAACTCCAGGGAGCTAGCTTCTCCTGAGGTAAACCAGCACACTGAAAACTGGCAGTACCTTCTTTCTTTCCAATGTGCAGTCTGTCCTGTGTGAATAACTGCCGAGCAATCCTCCACTGTCTTGTGGCCTGTTATGGAGGGGAGCCCCCTCAGCACTCAACCTCATCACATCATTTTCTCATTTCTTGTCCTTAATTCTCCTTTTTCTTCTTTCTCTCTCCTAGAGTCCCACACCCAAGTTTTCCTGCTTTATTTTTACCTCAGACTTTGCTTTCTAGATGTTTTGGGCTCAGCAGTTGCCTAGAATCTTTGCTCAAATATCCCAAAGAGGCATCTTTTGACCTCCCTGTTCTATACTCAGAAGCCACAGTCTTCCTGCTCCCTTACCTGCTGCGAGTGCTTGTATTAATCAATCTTGCACCTTCAAACCTACTATCTATTGATGTATGTATGTTTATTGTTTGTGTCTGTTTTCTGTTAAAATGGAAGCCAATAAAGGGGGGGGATCCTTAATTTCTTTACTGATGTATTCCAAGTGTCTGCAGCAGTGCCTGGCTTATGATGGGTACTCAATAAAAATTTATTAACAAGTGAATAAATTCATTGTTATGTTAAATGAGAAAACAGACCTGCCAGACCTATGGAATTGACTGATATAGACACCCAGCTGCCTCTAAGGATCAGCTTCTACTCCCAGCTACTGCCTCCCATTTACAGTATGGCCATCAGGATTTATAATAGTTTGCAAAATTCTAAATGTTCCAGTTACTATGGCTACATAGCAATACAGACTTGTATCATAAGACAATCATCACATTGCTCTGGATTCCATATGTTAAGGGTCAGATGGGCACAATGGGGTTGACTCATTGCACATAGACACTCAACTGAAGACTTGGTGTCTGGGGTCACTCAATGGTTAGAGACTATAAATATCTGGAAGCATCTTTAGCCCCACATCTGGTGATTGATATTGGATGTTAACTGGAACCAACTGTAGCAAAACTGCATTTGAACTTCTTATGACCTTTCCATCTGGCCCAATTTGGGCTTCCTCACTATATAACAGGGTTTTGAGAGCAAACATCCTAAAGAAACAGGTTGTAATTTTGTTACAACAAACAGTTGTGTAATTTTTTTAAAGATTTATTTATTTATTTATACATGCACTGCACACAGTCAGAAATGCAGGAGGGTGAGAGGATTCACCAAAGTCAGAGTGGAGAGCAGAGCAGGCAGACTGACGAAGTACACTGCTGAGGGGAGCAGCCGGTGGCAGGAGAGGTCTGCGTGCCATGTGGGACCCTCACCTGTCGTCCGGGGATTGAACTGGCACTGCAGAGGCTGTGGGCAGCCTCACAACCCAGCGCTCAACTGCTGCACCACCGGGGAAGCCCAATAGTTGTGTAATTTTTATGATGCGATCAGAAGTCACATAGAATCCCTCATGTTATAGTTATGTCACAAGGGAGGGAACCGATCTCACCTTGAGACAGTGCAGGGCAGTGTGATGCATGTCAAAGTATAGTGCCAAGGTTGGGGACATGTCACTGTCTATGGGTTCTCACCTATATGCCAATTGCAACACCACTCAGGTTCAGAGTCAACTACAACAGAATTTACTTAGAAAAGAGAGAGAGTTGGGAGAGAAGTTGGGAGGAAGACAGGGACAGAGGCAGTAGCAATGGTTCGAACATCATGAAGTTCTCAAAGGTTGATGATCCGGAAGGTCTCAGCATGGGTGACACCACAGCAGTCAGCAAAAACAATCCAAATCAGTGACAAGAATCCAAAGCCTGGGCTGGGCAGCACTGGACACTGGACCAGAGAATACCAAAGGTAACAACACCAGGGGTTGGCTCCAGACATGTCAGAGGCAGGGACCAGTGTTATATCTTTCAAAGATGCTGGGCAGAAAGCCAATAACAACCAGCTCTGTTAGGGACATCTAACACAGGATGAATGGTGTCATGTAATGTCACAGTCAATGTCAGAAGCAGAGTCAGAGGTCAGGTCTGTGAAGTAGTGGAGTTAGAGGATAGGGTTCAGTGTTACAACTCAACAAAGGTCTTCTGGATCTGACTGTGTCTCCAACTGCCTCTTCAAGCTCCTCGTCAAGGCCCCTGCCAAGTTACACAAATGTCAAGTTGATTGGAGCTTGACTTAAATATTCTCCAGTGTGCCTACCTTTTGAACCCGAGTGGTCCTTTTACTTGACTGACACCCACGGGAGCACCAATCAGATTGGGAAGTTTATGATATTTGTATCACTGCCCCAAAGGGTGGAAACTGCACCATATTTGCATTACTATCAAAGTGGGGAGGGAGGAAACAACACCAGCTGATCTTTATAACTAAATCAAAATGGGATGGCTCCAATTACAGCTGTTTGATTGATGCTGGTCAAGCTCCAATAAAATGTCCTATTCTTAAGTATATTCTGGAACCTGATATAAAAGAGAAAAGCCCAGCCTCTGCCCAGACTGGACATGTATTGAGGTCAGGCCAGGCTCTTGGGCTGGAGGGCTCCAAGAAACTCAGTGGGGCTGGAGGCAAACTGCACCTGATGCCCCTCAATGGGGCTGCATCTAATAATTTGGGGGGCCCTGCTTCAACTTGTCAATGGTAGAATTGTCAAAACCATGTGAGTGTTATAGCCCAGAGGAGGCTAAGAAGTCATGAAGACAATGTGATATGCTGGATAAGATCTTGGAGCAGGAAAAGAACATCAGATAAAAAATTATCACTAATTGACTGAAATAATAGTGTATCACAATTAGTTCATTAGTTGTGACAAATATATCATACTAAAGTAACATGTTAATAAGGAGAAAACTTGGTATATTGGAACTCTGTTCCATCTTTATAATTTTATAACTCTAAAATTTTTCTAATAAAAGCATTTTTTAAAGGAAAAAAGAGCATGTGGAAAAAAGAAATATTGATACTGGAAAGTCTCTGAGGATGTCTGAGCAACAGGAGCCTGTAGCAGCAGTGATGGTCTCACCTTGCTGCTCCACCACAGGCCAGCTCCAGCTCCTTAAAGTCCAGCAACCTCCCTTTTATACATACTTCTAGATCATAGAATGGACTAATCTGGTACAAGTTATGAGCTGATCAGTGCTAAATGGTCCCATCAGTCATAGGATTGAAAAATGGTCCAGGGCCTCCCCAGTGGCACAGCGGGTTGAGCACCACACTGTGAGGCTGTCTGTGGCCTCTGCAGTGCAGATTTGATTCCCGGCCAGCCAGGGAAAAACCCACATGGCGTGGCAGACCTCTCCTGCCTTGCCCACTGCTCCCCTCAGCAGTGTCTTCAGTCAGTCTGCCTGTTCTGCTCCCCACTCTGTCTCTGGTGAATTCTTTCACCCTCCTGCACCTCTGACCTGTCCTGTACTCCAATTCTTGTATAAATAAATAAAAAATATTTAAAAAAAAAGAAAGAAAAATGGTCCAATAGGACTTGAAGGTGGAGGACCTGAAAAAAGATATAAACCAGGGCCAGAGGGAGTTGAGAGATTGTTCAAGACTCCAAAGGAGGAAGAAGAAGATTCCATTCCTGACCTCTGAAGAAAGAAAGAAGAAAAAGGACCAGCAGCCAACCTTCAGAAGAAAGAAGAAAAGAGGAAGCATTCAGTGGCTGACCCCAATGAAGAAAAAGTAAATGAAGACCTCTATCGGACACTGGGCTTCAGGTCATGTCTCTGACAGTGCCTGAAAGGAGCACCAAAGGTCCTGATGTCTCAAAGACATGTTTGTTGTTGTAATAGTTCAACAACACAAAAAGAGCTGTTAACACTTGTTGATATCTCTGACACCATGTCTGGGTGACCAGCAGTGGCCATCACTACTATCCATTGCTATCCAGAACTCCTAGCAGTGGCCATCACTACTATCCACTGCTATCCTGAATGATCACTAGCAGCAACTACTGTGGTCCAGCTCTGTTGACAGGTGACTGGCACTCTGCTTGTTCTAGTGGACACTATCTGGGTGAGATAGCCGCCACTTGTGGCTACAGTAAGGTCTTTGTTTCTCCTGTTTGTAAAATAAACTCCATGGTTGTTGTTCTTGGAACCTGAGGTATCTTGTAATTTTGAGCGTGGGTGAGAACACACTAGCAGGCACTGTCCTGTGAATTGTTATAGCCCCCTAGTGTATAGGTACTGCATTGCTATAGCCCTTGTTTTTGGTTTTTGGCCTTTTAGCCTTTTGAGCTTTTGACTGCTGTCTTGTCTGGGGGTATCAGGCATCAACCCTCCCTGCCTTTATTCAGTATCTTTGCAACCCTTTTAGAAAACATAATCTGCCACAACAAATAGGAACTGATAATTTTGAAGGGCAGGAGCATGTATATTTAGTGATAAGAAAGAATCCATGAAAAAGTCTCTAAATGAAGTTGATATTTGTCTAAAGGTATGAAGAGAAACAGAGTTATGACTAAATAAAAAGAACAGATAACTCAACAAGTCTTTATGGTTTGACTTCAAGATGCACTGTGGTCATATTCTGAGCCACTTCATCACTCTATGTACCATCCACATACAGATGTTTCCATGTTCAGTTGAATACCATTTTACTTAATTACTTGGTCAACAGTTATGTAACTGTCTTGTGAGGACAAGGAAGTGAAACATGCTAAATTTTAAAGATGATGAATATACAGTGATTGTTCTGAGAATATTTTTAATGTCATTTTTACAATTAAACTTAAAATTTCCATTGAAGGAGGAGTGTGGTAGATTCAAGATACACGGGTATCTCTAACTGCTCTTCCCAACCAGAGATAGGTTATCACCTCCCCTTTTGACATGGCTGGCCTTTGTGACTCATTTGACCTTTAGAAAACAGCAGAAGAAGCTTTCTGGATTTAAGGCTATGCAGCCTTTTCTTAGAAGCCATCCTCCAAGCTGTGAGGAGTCAAGCCACAAGGAAAGGCTGCAGAGGGTACCTGGGTGAACAATCCAGCTTAAGATCCCAGATGAGTGCCAGCACCACCTCTGATCCACTTAGATTTCCAGTCAGTCCAGCTTTCAGCTAACAGCAGCCTAGCCACCATCTCACTATAACCATTAATGCATGAGGGACCCACAAGCAAGAACCACCCAGCTGAGCCCACTAAACTCACAAATCTCTGGAATAAGAGAAATAAATTAAACCACCATGTGTTGGAGTAGGTGTGCAGCAATGTTTAGCCCATACAAAGGGTTGTGGGTATTAAAATTTAAAGATTTAAGACAATTAAAAATGACTAAACCATGTATAAGAAATGTGAACTAATATAGAAATATTAATGAGTAGTTTGCAGATAAAAGAAAAATGAAGAAAAAAATATGTGAGTTTGGAAGAAAAATATAGGTATTGTTAGGACTAATCAGAAAAGCAGGAAGTGAGTCATCAACAAGTTGTCTTCCATGTGAGGAAGTATGCAAAACAGATAAGCCATAAACCATGAGCGCTTTGGAGCAAGGAACTTAGATGAAAGTTATTTTTATTTACATCTTACATTTATTTAGCCAATGAACTACTTGTTAGTTATTTTAGGTAAGAAGATAAAATCTGTGAACCTACCACTTAATATGATAACCAGAACCTTAATAATATATTAATTCTATCATCTATCACATCTATCACATCTATCTAGTTACTTCCCTATCCCATGTTTGAAATAAGATAATCTCCTTATCTCTTCTTTTTCAACTGAGTCTGCTTAGATACACTGAAAGCTACATTTAGTTTCAGACAAATTCATGCTGTTTCCTAGTTAATTGATTACTAGGCAGATATAACACAGATAGGAAAGGATAATAAATAAGAAAGCAAAGATGCATTAATACCATGAATAATTACCAGCATGCTTATGTTACAGTGGATACAACCAGCATCTAATTGAGCCTCTCACTGCAAAACATAGCATAGGAAGGGATAAGAGCAGCCCCTGGGCCTGAGTTTAAAATTAAGATCTAGAGTCATTTTTCAGCATCTTTGTTGTGTTAGCATTTGTATTCCTGGGGGATGTAAGCATGAAGAATATACAGCTCATGCCTTCAAGACACTGACAGTAGGGAAAATATTATGAAAGTGAACAATAGAAGCATGTTAACTTACAAATAGAATGATGAAGCCAGGACATAAAAGTCTTCCTAAGGCTGTTGCCATTTTATTAGGACTTTGAAGGAAGAATAGGGTGTTTAGAGAGACAAAAGGTGAAAGGGGAGTGGTAGATGGAGCTAGGCAGAAGAGAATAGCAGGAATGCAGGGTTATATACAGTCATAGAGACCACAGCAAGGTCAGGTCTAGGGGACCATCAACAGCACACAGCAAACTAAGTGACCAGGAAAGGGGGAAAAAGATTTCCTTACTTTTTTCTGGTAAAACTACACTGGTCATACAGTAGCCACCAGTGATTACTGGGCTCTTGACCTGTGTAGAGTCCACAGATAGAAGTCTACAAATGTAAAATGCACATTGGATTTAAAAGTCTTAATATGGCAAAAGTATGCACAAGTTTGTTAAGATTTCTATACTGGTTAGATGTTGAAATAATATTTTGAATTATCTGTGCTAAATAAAATGTATTATTAAAATTAATTTCACCTTTTGTTTTTTGCTTCCTTCAATGAAACCACCAGAAAATTTAAAGTTACATGTATAGCTTGCATTGTATTCTATTGAAGCACTGCTGTGATACATTGGCCTTACATAATGTCCTTCACCTCATTCTCCAAGATTGATTTGAAAACTGAGCATATAAGTTTTATCTTTAAAGTGTGGAACTTTATGGTCTTTAAAGAACATCAGGTCGTCAATCTACTGAGGGAAGCAGAAGAGGTTAGAT